GTCTCAATCTGATAAAAGCCATCTATGACAAACCAGTAACCAACATCATACTAAGTGGATGAAAACTGAAAGCATTCTCTCTAAAATCAGGAACAACGCTCTTATTCAATATAGTCTTGGAAACTTTAGCTGGATCAATTAGACAAGAGAAACAAATAAAAGGAAAAAATATACAAAAAGAAGAAGTTAAACTATTGTTATTTGCAGAGGACATGATACTCCACTTAAAAGGCCTCAAAATATCCACCAAAAGACCTCTGGATTTAATAAGTGAATTCAGTAACTTAGCTCGTTACAAAGTCAACACCCAAAAATCAGTAGCCTTCCTGTACATGAATAACAAAGTCACTTTGAGGGGAATCAGGGAAACAATACCTTTTACAATAGCATCCCCAAAAATGAAATACCTAGGTATCAGTCTAACAAGGGAAGTAAAAAACCTCTACATTGAAAACTACAGTATTCTGAAAAAGGAGATTGAAGAGGATATTAGAAAATGGCAAGATAACCCACGCTCTTGGGTAGGAAGAACCTATGTAGTGAAAGTGGCCAGACTGCCAAAACTGTTATACAGATTCAATGTATTTCCAATCAAAATTCCAATAGCATATCTCACAGAATTAGAAAAACCAATCCTCTAATTCATCTGGAACTAGAAGAGACCTAGAATAGCAGAGGCAATCCTGGGACATCACAATCCCTGACTTGAAATTATACTGTAATTTCAAGCTACTCTGATAAAAGTGTGGTACTGAGAAAAAAAAAAAAAACAGACCTGGAGATGAATAGAATAGATTAGAAGACACAGACACATGAAGCCACCTTATCTTTGACAAAGACCTTCACTGGAAGAAGGATAGCCTTTTTAATAAATGGTGCTGGATGGGGCTGGGGATTTAGCTCAGCGGCATAAGCGCCTGCCTTGCAAGCAGGCAGTCGTGATTTTGACCCCTGGTACTGATAAAAACGAAAAAGACAAAAAAAAAAAAAAATGGTGCTGGAAATAAATGGTGCTGGAAAAACTGGCTCCACACATGCTGAAGATCAAAACTGGGCCAATATCTTTCACCATGCACTAAGCTAAAATTAGAGAGGATCAAAGACCTTTTTTTTTCATTTTTATCGGTACCAGGGATCGAACTCACGACTGCCTGCTTGCAAGGCAGGCGCTTATGCCGCTGAGCTAAATCCCCAGCCCCTGGATCAAAGATCTTAATATTGAAACAGAAACATTAAATCTGATGGAAGATAAAGTAGGTAAAACTCTTTTTTTTAAAATTTTATTTAAGGAGAAAAAGAAAAAGGCTACAAGTTATACAGAATTTCAGAAAAAAAATAAACAGTGGGAAATCACTAGTTAATGGATTACATATTGTCATCTTAGAAATATTTGTTCAAGTTACAAAATTAAAGCATATAAAGTGGACATTCAAACAGTGAGACTGCAAACAGTTCTGTTCAATGATCCAACGAAACTCAGTAAAATCATTATCTATCTTATACACTTAAATATACATGCAGTTATATCCTTTAGAGCACTTTCTTTTCCTCTCTTTTGTACAATGACTATTACACATTTTGGGTTTTATAACTCCCACAGTTCTTATTACTTTTTTGGAAGAGAGTAAAACCAAATGTGACATAACAGAACAGAGTCAGTCAAATCAAAAGGGTGGACATAATAGATAATGTAAAAACATAACACAAGGTGATCAACAATGGTTACCATACTGCCTACTGCTATCTCTAATAGAATTGCCTATATCATCAGTCATAATAAAATTGAACAAAACAGTAAAGAATGAAACCAACAAAACCAAAACATTGGAGACATTACAGGTCTTCAAAAGTAGATAATAGTCAACCAGAATGGGCGTCATAATGAATCCCCTATCTTCACAGCAGGTAAAACTCTTGAAGACACTGGTGTAGGCTAAGACTTTATGAATTCCCATTACACAGGAACTATCACAAAGAATTAACAACTGCACTCTCACCCTGACTGAAAAGCTTTTGCGCAACAAGAGAAACCAGCAACAGAGTGAATAGACAACCCACAAGGTGGGAGAATATGTTTGCCATTGTACCTTAGACAAAGAATTACTATCAAGAACATATAAAGCACTCATAAAAATTAGCCCTCCCAGATTTAATGACCCAATCCATAAACAGGCATCTGAGATGAATACACACTTCTCAGATGAAGAAATATGAACAGCAAATAAATATGGGAAAAATGTTCAACATCACTGATTATTTGCGAAATGCAATTTAAAACAACACTGAGATTCCACCTCACCCCAGAACGCATGGCTATCAAGATATCAAGCAATAACAAATGCTGGAGAGACTGTGGGGGAAAACGAACCCTTTTCCGCTGCTGGTGGGAATGCAGACTGGTGGAAATCAGTGTGGAGATTACTAAAAAATTAGGACTACAGGTCCCACTTGACCCAGCTATTCCCCTTAGTGTCTTCCCAGAAGAATTGAAAGCATCACACCACAGCGATATATGTGCACCCGTGTTTATAACAGCACAATTTGTAATAGCCAGATCTCGGAAACAACCTAAATACCCATCGACTGAGGAATAGATAAAAGAGATGTGGTATTTTTATACAATGGAGTACTACTCAGCCATAAGGAAGGATCAACTAGAGACTTTTATAGGTAAATGGATGCAATTTGAGAACATACTCCTAAGTGAAATAAGGCACACCTGTAACACTGTATTGTCTCACTAGTGTGAGAAGCTGAATGAAACAACATGTGTATGTCTATGTATATAAAAACAACTAGTTAAGATAGTTACACTACCGGCTTCTCTGAGTTCATTATAGAGAAAGATTTGTGCTGGTATTGTGTGAACAACTGAAGGCAGATTTTTGTGCTCCAGGTGAATGATTTGGGGATGACGATGTGTAGTGTATGTACTACTGTTGCCCCTGTTTGATGTGTTCTGAAATTTTTTAGTTTTTCTTCTTTTTCTTTGTTTTGCTCTTTGAAACAAAATGGATTTAAAAAAAAAAAAAAAAGTAGCACCTGAAGTGGCAGTAGTGGGGGATGGAGTTCAGGGATAGGAAGGTGGCCAGAATGGCGTGTGGCCAGAGTGCTGTGGGGAGGGACCTCGGGCAGTTGGGCTCCTGAGGTGGCCAGAAGCCTGCTCAAGGCTCCTGTCTACGAGTGCAGGGCGCGCATAATCCGGATGTGAACCTTCTGAGCCAAGCGGGCTCAGGACAAATCTTGAATCCTATGTGGATTCCTCTTCTGTTAGCCCCGCTAGGGTCTAGAAAGAGCCAGCCCGGGGTTGCAGCCAGTGCTGCTGAGACAAGACACGCGGGCTGCAGGGTCAACGTGGCTTGGCAGGGCCACTGTGGTCCTCACCTGCCCTCCCTTTGTTCCGCTCAGGTCCCCCTGTGGGTCAGGACACCTCGCCTCAGCGTCCTCCCTGTCCCCGGCTGTGGAGCGCCCGCCTCCTCCATCCACTGGACAGCTCAGCCCACCCTTCCCCACAAGCCAGCACAGAAGGCAGCTGGGACCAGCACCTGGCAGGACAATCCACCTACGGTGTTCACATAAGCCAGGCTCTAGGGGCTGGGGATTAGCACAAACGCCTGTCTGGCAAGGCAAGGTCATGAGTTTGATCTCTAGTTCAAAAAAAAAAAAAAATCCAGCCTCTAACAGGGAGGAAGGGAGGGAGGGAAAAGGGGAAAAAAGAGAATAAAAGGCACATGCTTGTCGTCCTGGCACTTGGGAGGCTGAGACAGGAGGAACAGCAGGGGGAAGAAGCTGTGAGCTAGCCTGGACTACACAGAGAGAGCCTTTCTCAAAATAAAAAAAAAAAAAAAAACAGGAATCTTTTTGTAAATAATGAGGGAAAGAGGGGTTGAAGGGACAGGAGGAGACTGGGGGAAAAGAAAATCAAGAAATATCATGTACAGGTACTAGTTCCCTATGAAGAATGTGATCGTTATGTATATCTAAATTGTACCAATTGAAAAAAATAAGCAGTGACACCAGCATGGCAGGGACCAGGTGCCCAGGGATTACACTTTGCCAATCCGTGATTTTTACCTGAATGGAGCAGAAAGACCCTAGGCTGGCCAGCAACACTAACTGTCACACATCCATGATCTCTAATGCTTTTTTTCTTTATTTTTCATTTGTTTATTTTGAGATAGGTCTCACTATGTAGCCTATGCTGGGCTCAAACTTCCAGTGATCCTCCTGCCTCCGCCTCTTGGGTGCTGGGATTACAGGCATACACCATCACAACCGGAACATTTTTTTTTTTAAACTGAGGATTGAACCTGGGGCCTTCTCACTGAGCTACACCTCCAAGCACCTAGTGCTTTTCAGACAGGGTCTCCCTATATTGCCCAACGTCACCCCAAATTTAGAATCCTCCCGACTCAGCCTCCAAGAGTGCTGGGATCAAAAGATGTGCACGACGATGCTCCACCCTCCAGCCCTTCAAAGCTCTATGTGAGGAGTTAGCATTCTTCCCTACTGTTAGACAAGGAAAAGGAGATTAAGCAGAGTAACTCACTCAAGGTCACACAGGCTGAGTGATAAAGCAGAGATTTGCGCCCCAGCCTGCCGGATGCTGTGCTGTGTGGCTCTGGGGAGAACAGATCAGAGCTGGGAGTTGTTCTGGGTTTGTGTCAGTGGATTAAGACTCATTTTTTGGAAAACTTACACTATTTTCTTCTATACTTCAGCTGGCTTGCATACAGAAACCTCTCTGCTCATGAGAGCCTCTCTACTCACACACCTCTGCGACATGCTCAGCCTCTGCGAGTTCCCGTGCTGTGCGGTACACTCAGCCTGCTGTGCTGTCCCCCCAGCGGTCACTGACTCAGTCACCAGGACATCCTGGCACCCAGGAAGGGTGGCAGAGCCTCTCGGGGTCCCTGGGCAGGGTGGCTGTGGTGAGGAGGCCTGCGGGTGCCCTCACCTCACCTCTCTCACATGCAGCAGGGAAAGTGAGAATCCGGGCACCAGGTACAAACAGTTTATTACAAACAGTTTATCTAAAAACAGCGAAGTACAAAGAGGCAGGGGAGGCCTGCAGGGCAGCAGAGGTGGCCCAGGCCCTGATGTGGCCTCGAAGGCCGTGAGTGAGGCTGTCCAGGGTAAACTGAGGCTCAGGTCTGTGTGCAGGTGGAGAGGGCGAAGATTGAGCAAGGAGGAGCCTGGGGCTGAGGCCGCAGTCACACGAAGCCGGGCTTCATGGATGCACGGCGGCAGTTGGGGCAGCCCCGGGCAATGTTCCTCTGCAGGCACCTGCGGGGCAGAGGGCTCTATGGCTGCCGAGGCAGAGCCTCCGGCCCAGCCTCTCCGCTCCCTTCCCCAGGGCAGCTGCGGGCACTTGCTGCCCCAGAGCCTTCTAGACAGCAGGCAGAGTGACGCCTGGCCCCAGCTGTCTGACCCGATGGCCTCCAGAGGCCTCGCTGAGTTCCTTGGGGAAATGATGCAAGAATGGCCACCCATTCTTGCTGGGGCTCGGGGTTTAGCTCAGCAGCATAAGCACCTGCTTGGCAAGCTCGAGGTCGTGAGCTCAATACCCGGTACCAAAAAAAAAGGATACAAGGAATGGCCACCTGGATGGCGGATGGGAGGACTCAAGGGGCCAGCTAACGGGACTTTCTTAGGACACGCCTGTACCTGGGCATGAAGGCGCAGCCTGTGATCCCAGGAACTCTGGGATGCTGAGGCAGGAGTATCGCATGCTTAAGCCCAGCCTGTGCACTTTACTGACTTAGAGAGAACTTGTCTCAAAGTAAAGATTTTTTTAAAAAGGGAGCTGGGGCTGTAGTGTAGTGCCAAGGTCCTGGGTTCAAACCCCCATCAAAAATAAAGACTGAATTCCTCGGGTTAATGACAGGAAGGATGTCACCCAAGCCTCTGAGTGGATGAATGGGGAGTTTGTGGAGCGGCCTAGGCCTTAGGCAGCAGCAGGCCAGTGTGTGCTGTCCCTGTCACCAGTGTGGCGTGGCTCAGTGTCCCTCACCTGAGGTGGAACAGGTGTGCGCAGGGCAGTGCCTGCAGCCGGCCGTTCTGTTCTCCAATGGCCTCGCCGCACAGCCCGCAGTACAGCTCTGTCTCCTCCACACATGCGTGGAAGCGCACCACGTGCGCGCGCACTTCCCGCTGCAGCCCCTTGCTGCGGCAGATGTCCTCGGCCAGCCGGTGCAGCCGCAGCTGGCTCAGCTGGCAGGGGCAGGGGACAGGGCACAGTGGATAGGGGACGGGTATGGAGAGGGCCAGGTTGGTGGTGTGCTGCCCAGCCCTACCCTGCCCGCCCCCCCCCCCACCGAGGGCCACGCCCAGCCTCTCTGGGCCTGGGTTCCGTCCAGCAGAATGGGGTGGGGAGGGCAGAAGTTTCTGTCCACTGCAGGACTTTAGGGCTCCTGATACCTGTGGCCTGGCCTCCACCCACCAAAAGCAGGAGCAGTGAGCAGGGAGCTGGCCGTGCCCTGCTGCGGTGCCTGCAGGTTTCTGGAAGGCCAGAGCACTGAGCCTGCCTGCATCTGCAGGGCTGGGTGTGGTGACGGAGTGAATGTGGAGATGCCACATCCGCTACAGCTGTGGAAAGGACCTACGTGTGGCCTGACACAGACCTCGGTGACTCTGTGAGCTGCATCAGCCTCCTCTATAACGGGTCACAATGTCTAACCCCCAGGGAGAAAAAACACCAAGTGACACCTATCAAAGCTGTCCTTCTGGGTCTTAGGGACTGACTGGAGGCCACCATAGAGTCCTAATGCGCAGAAGCTCTGAGAATGCCTTCCCCTGAGTGGTGACACTCCTGCTCTGCCCCAGGGCCATGGGCTGAGGGTCAGGAAGGGCTCAGAGTCATCCACGTCTGAGGTGCCTCCCAGAACCCCTGGTCTGGGAGACAGAATCAGGTCTGACCTTGTTCCCCACCTCTTCGGCCAGGTCCTGGGCTCTCTCAATGGCATCTAGAGCCTGCAAGATGAAAAGAGAGGCCAGGGCTCAGGTGCAGGATTTGACAGAGGCTAACAGCAAACTGGGGAGGGGACAGGGCAGGGCCACTGCCCTGTGTGTGGCAGTAGTAGAGAGTAGAGGGTGGAGTTGCATGAGCCTCAGGCTGTGCATGTTCGGAATGGGCAGGACAGGCCTGCCTCACACACTGCTGGGAGACCATCAAGCCAGTCAGTGTCCTGGGTTCAAGTCCTAGTGTGTACTCTTCACTAGCCAGGGGTCCCTGAGCCAGGTGTGGGCCTGCTTCAGGCTGGGAAGGTAACTTGGACTTTCCTGGCCTCCCAGAAGCAGGTAGGGCTGACTTTAGAGAAGGAGACCCATGGAGCCTAGGCCTGGACAGAACTGCAGTTTGGCAGGACTGGCTTGTTGGGAGCAGGGGGTGGTGGGCAGAGCCAGGGAATGGGATGGGACTGCTCTCACCTTGTCCAGTGCCTTCCTGGCCACCCAGCACTTGGTCACACCCAGGAGCACCTGCACCTGCCCCAGGCGGTTTCCAATCTCAGTCATGATGCTCATGGCAGAGTCGTACCTGGGGACAGCTGTCTGCACAGCGGAGGAGGTGAATCAGGCTGGGCCAGCCCAGTGCCCCCTCCCATCCCAGTGACCTCACCTCCAGGTCCCCACGGCTCCGATGGATGTCAGCAAAGCAGAGCAGGCAGAGTGCCTGAAGTGGCCGGTCCCCATGCTGTAGCGCAATCTTCATGGACTCCTGTGAGGGATGGGGCAGCCATGGAGTCACAGCGCCCTCAGAGCCCCCCGTACCCATGTATCCATGCTGTGCCAAGGTTTCATGCACTGAAGCCACAGCACTGATTGACAGCTGGAAGCTCAGGTTCAAGGTCCCAGAAGTAAGTGCCATGCCTGGAATTTGAACCCGAGGCCGGCTCTCTTCCTGCCGGACTCTTCTGGTTGTTCAAAGAGGGTATTGGGCCCCAAGGAAAGCCCCCTCTCATGAGCATGGCCCAAACCTCCCGCGGGGTTCAGCTATGCCAGCCTGAAAGGAGGTGGCCTTGGTTCCTACCTCCTGCCCCCCACCCCTACCACATCCCTATGGCCCCACCTCACAACACTCCATGGCACTGCCCAGGTGGCCCAGCAGGCGGTAGGCCACAGCCATGTGGTACTGGCTCATGGCTCGGTACTTGAGGCTCCAGCCTTTGCCGTAGTCATTGACAAGCTCTGCTGCCTTGCAGGGAAAGAATAGGGCTTTCTCATAGTCCTGCGGAGACAGGGGTGGTGGGCACACTGAGCATGGGAACTGTCCACGAGCGGACCTCAGGGCAGCAAAGGAGCAGCCTCGGTCAGCACTGCTGCTGGATCCCAAAGGCTGCGCCTGGTTCTTGGATCTAGCACATGCCCAAAAAATACTTCCGCAAAGAATGACTGAAAAGGTGAGAAGGCACCGGGTGCAATGGTGCATGCCTGTAACTGCCACTGAGGAGGCTGAAGCAGGAGGGTCCCGAGTTAAAACCAGCCTGGGGAACACAGTGAGTTCAAGGCCATCCTGGTGAGCCTTCATAGTGAGACCCTGTCTCCAAAAGAAAAGTAGAGGAAAGGAAAGAGAAAAGAAAAGGGAAGAGAGGGATGGAGGGGCAGCAGCTGGTGTCCAGTCCTAAATGGTCCTCAGCTTCAGGACCACTCGAGGCAGGGATATCAGTGTCCCGCATGAGGGGGAGGGTGGTGACCTACAAGGCAGTTCCTCTGGTTTCTGCAGTGAGTGGAGAAATAGCCTGGTGTGATGGTGCATGCACTTTGAGAGGCATCAGCATTCTGAGAGGCTGAGGCAAGAGGACTTCAAGTTCAAGATTAGCCTGGGCAACTCGGTGAGACCCTGTCTCAAAACACTAACTAAGAAAAAAGCTGAGAATGCCACTCAGCGTGAAGGCCCTGGGTTCGATCTGCCAGCACAAAAAAACAAAACAAAAATGATGGAAAATAAAAGGGGAAGGTGAGAGTTTCCTAATGAAGAAGATGTAAAAGGGGGGCTAAGGGTTTAGCTCAGCGGTACAGCATCTGCCTGGCAAGCATGAGGTCCTGAGTTTGATTCCTGATACGAGAGAGAGAGAGAGAGACAGAGACAGAGACAGAGACAGAGACAGAGACAGAGACAGAGACAGAGAGACAGAAAAGAAGCCAGTGCAATGAATGGCTCTTATTTGTGTTCCAGTACAACAAACAGGCTGGGGGGGAGAGCACATTTAGAAATTTAAATACAGACCGGGCATGAGATGCTAGACAATATTGGTAAATTTGGTGTATGTGATAAATTTTATGATATATGGGAGTCCTTATAAAAACGAGGTGCCTTTTAAAAAATTCTAGGGATGGCTCAGCAGCATAAGCACCTGCCTTATAAGCAGGCTGTCGTGAGTTCGATCCCCAGTACCATTAAAAAAAAAAATTCTAGTGATGATGGGCTGGGGATTTAACTCAGTGGTATAAGCGCCTGCCGGGCAAGTGCAAGGCTATGAGTTCAATCCTAGTACCACACACACACACACACACACACACACACACACACACACACACAAAATTCTAGTGATGAATACTGAGCCAATTTGGGTAAAACATCACAATTTGCTACCACTTCAGTGAAAATGTGTAAATCAAGGCAGGTGTGGTGACACAAGCCTGTAATCCCAGCACTTAGGAGGCTAAAGTAGGAGGCCAGCCTGCGCTATATAGTGAGTTCAAAGTCAGCCTCAGCTACATAGTGAGACCCTGTCTCAGAAAACCAACCAACCAACCAACCAACCAAACAAACAAACTAAAATCCTGTTGTTCGTAGATGAGGCTGGTTGTAACTCAAGATTCTTGTGTAGAACTCCCCTGCCCACAAAAGTATAAGTCACATGTGGCAGCCTGCCTTGGTCCTTTACTCCTGTAGTCCCAGCACTCTGGGAGGCTGAGGCAAGAGGATTCAAAAGTTTGAGTCCATCCTGGGTACCTTAGCAACTTAGTGAGGAGAGCCTGTCTTGAAATAAAAATAAAAATGGGCTGGCAATGTAGCTCAGTGCAGGGTTTACCTAAGTACCCAAGAGTGTCAACAATATATACAATTATTCAGTCTATGGTGGTTATATGGGAAGTCATTGTATTACTCTATTTCTCATATGGTTTTCTTCAAAGTAAAAAAGGTTTATGTCAGGGGCTGGGGATTTAGCTCAGCGGCATAAGCACCTGCCTTGCAAGCAGGCGGTTGTGAGTTCGATCCCTGGTACCGATAAAAAGTTAAAAAAAAAAGGTTTATGTCATCACAGAGTCATCATATCCAGGTCCGCTGTCCTTGGGGGTCCCACCTCTTCTCCAGCCTTCCTCCGCCCCTGAGCAGACACAGCTATTCACCCCAGGTTTACTGAGCTCCCACTATGCACTGGGCACTGACCCCCCAGCCTGGCCTTGCTGCCCACCTTGACCTGTGCGTAGAAGCTGCCCAGGCTGCAGCACACACGGCACTCCAACATGGTGTCATCGTTGTTGTGGGCGTAGCGCAGGGCTTTCTCGAAGCTCTCCAGCGCCTTCTGGAAGAGGCTGAGGCCCAGGAAGGCATTGCCCATGCTCAGGCTGACCTGGCCCCCAAGCCGCGCCACTGCCCTGGTCCCCGGCAGGCCGAGGCAGGTCTTGCAGTAGGAGATGGCCTTAGGGAACTCGCACAGCTTCTCATTGCTGCGAGCCAGGTTCAGATAGCTCTCCAGGAGGAAGTCGGCGTCCTCCAGCTCCCGCGCGGTGTCTACCTGGACCACAGCAAACTGCCCACAGGGTGGGGGGCAGGAGCTCTTAAAGTAGCAGACCCCAAAGTCCTGGGCCCGGAGCCTGTGCCCGCCCAGTCTGCAGCCCAAGCCCCAGCACAAAACCTCAACGGGAGGGCCAGAACCTAGAGTTGGACACCTGGGCTCCCAGTCTCCAGCCCCTGGACCCCAGGCCTCTGTGTCAGAAGCTCCGACACAGAAGTTCCAGACCCCAGACTTGGATCTGAAGCCCCAGCCCCCAACACACAGGGCCTTGGAGGGGGTCAGGAGGCTTGGCCCCTCACTACCAGCCCGCAGGACACACAGGAGCTAGAGGGCCCTGCAATGCATTGCTGGGGGTCCGGCCCTGCCCTGCCCTGCCCACCCCCGCGCAACCACCCACCTTGAGCATCTCTCGGTAGCGGCCCATCTCCGAGTGCGCAGTCACCAGACAGCCCAGCACACGAAATCGGCCCGCAGGGTCCGAGCTCTTTTCCAGCACCTTCATCCACACCTGCAGCGCCTTTTCGGTGTGGTTGGACTGATACAGCCGTAGCCCCTTCTCGATCTGCTGCTTCGTCTGGTCCTGCCCCATCCTCCCACAGCCCGTTGGCCGCCTGCAGAGACCCTGCAGCTCCTCAGCGCCCAGAGCTCCTCATGGACCCAGGAAGGAAAACGGCAGCCGGCAGGGAGCCACTCGGGGCCTGGATGAGAGCGGGCGCCACCCTGGGAACACAGCTGCTTTGGTGGCGGCCCCTGTGCGCAGCTGTCCCTGCCACTTGAAGTCACGTGGCCCCTAAGGAATGTCAGCAGCAAGGTCACGCGGGCCTTGCTGCACCCACCCACGTTGCGTGGCTTCAGAAGAATCAGCTTCTGACCACCTGCACACCCCTTGGGTGTCACCCTGACACCCTGCTGCCCCTGCCCCTGCTGGGAGGGCCACCAGGGAGCTGGCAGGGCTGACAGCATTGAGGAAGCAGATGTCCCGCGTGCTCAGCTTGCCTCACCCTCTGCCCACGTGTCCCAAATCCCCCGCTTTGTTCCCGTGATGCACTGTGGTCACCTGGCCATGCGCTTGTCTCACCAGTCCTAAGCGTCTCCCTCCAGAGAAGGCCCTCGAACTGGTTGGTGCCAGAGGCCTGGCTTCCTGCTAACTCCCAAGGGGACTCTGGCCAAACCATTTTTCTCTCTGGGCCTTGGTTTCCTCTTCTGTACTATGAGGACAATAAATCCCAGGAAGCAGCCAGGCCAATTCCTGCTGCCCCTGTATGTTAGCAGGATGGGCCAGGTGACCTCAGGCAGGTTCTTGGCTCTTTGGAGAGCCGGGGAAAGACAGTTGCAGTGCACGGCTCTCGGGACAGCAATGAGCCTGAAACGATATGCTCCTGGCATTCTGGCATAATGGACCCTGTGTGTGACCCCAATGGACCCCTGACTGTTGAAATGTTGTTCAGGCCAGGTGTGACACATGCCTGTAATGTCAGTTCTCTGGAAAGTTGAGGCAGAAAGATCTTTTGGTATTCAGCCTGGGCAACTTGTGGAGCCGCTGTCTCAAACAAAGTGTGGGCTATGGATGTGTCTTGGTGCTAATGCCTTGGGTTCAAACCACAGTACCAATAAATAAAAAAATAAAATAAAATGTCTCACTTGCACTCCCAACTCTGGTTAGAAAAGGTCCCTAACACTGAGCTTTAAGGCCAGACACTGGAAGGGCGAGGTTGAGTGTAGGGAGCAGAACCTTGAAGCTCTGGAGCGCTGGGGGGAAAGAGAAGCCCTGGTGGCAGGAACCCTGCCACCCCAGCAGCTCCTGACCTCAGCTTCTCCTCTGCCCTCTGTTCGTCAAGCACTCCCCACCCCTGCAAAGTGGGTAATCCAGTGGTTTTCGGTATATTCCCACCATTCTGCATGGACTACCACTAATTCTGAACCACTCATCAGCCCTGAAAGATGCCCACACCCATGAGCAGTCACTCTGCAACCGTCTGGTGTCAAGGCTGAGTTGTGTCCCTCCATTACTTTGTGGAAATTCTAACCTCAGGACCTCAGGAATGTGATTATAGACATGTTTCCTTTTTTATGGTACTAGGAATCAAAATCCAGGGCCTCAAACATGCTCGGTAAGTGATCAACAACTATTGAGCTCCATCCCCAGTGGGCATTTCCTGGGAGAAGGTCGCATGGGGTGAGGGGGCTGCTCAGGGAAGGAAGCATCTGGGTGCCTCCCCAGTGCTGCATTCAGATAGACTGAAAGTAGCTCGTAAGACAGGAGGAATCCCACAGGAGCAGCCTGCTGTGGATGGCGCGTTTTCTGTATTCATCTACACTTGTGCCACCCTGTCAGAGCATCACTGTTAGAGCATCGTTTGTGGCTGGTTAATATCCGCTGTTTGGCTACATCAGTGTTTATGGAGGATGTCTGGGATGTTCTGCCTTTGGCTTTTAGCAGGAAGGATGCCATAAATCTCAATGTATGAATCATCAGGTGGACATGCTTTTCTCTTGGTATATACTCAGAGGTGGAGGTGCTGGGTCCTGTGGCATCTGTACACCCAGCCTCCTGAGGAATTGCCCAGCTCCCTGCCCTGAGGCCTTTCGGGCTCCTGCTTTCCTCTTCCCATACCTGCTTCTTGCCTAGGAAGCCCTGCTAGGTGACTTGGCTTATTATCCACTCACAGTTATAGAATCAGAGCTTGGTGAGGTCACCTGCTCAGCTCACCCCCTGTAATGCACAGGAAAGGCCTTTGTCTCATTCCCCACCCAGCTCCCCAGAGCCAGGCGTGGCACAGAGGTCACTCAATGAATTCATCACGAGTGGACAAGGAGAGAAGCAATGAGTGTTTCCACTTGAAACTAAAACGCCAGCGCATCTGCCCTGGCTGCTCACAGGAAGAACACGATGGGTCTGGCGGTCAGGACCTGGGGTCGGGAAGCAACAGTTGGCCTGAGGCCTCACAGCAGTGGTGGAGGTGAAGGCAATGATGGCCCAGGGGACACGAGGGGAAAGCACGCCTAGGCCTGGCTGGTGGGGCGGGAGGCTGTATGCAAGGGTCCCTATCGTCTCAGCAGAGCCAGGAGGTCTCCTCTCAGTAGTAAGCCATGACACTGCGGCAGAAGAAGAGTGGGGACAACTGGTGTCCACACCCCAAAGGAGCCGGGACTCTGGCGATCTCCAGCTTGGAACCTGCAGGATAAAGGCTTCTCCTGCTCCAGGAGTCACTCTTAGTTCCTGAATGGAGAACATGCTCAGACCTGCTGCAGGCCCCAATGTTCCCTGGAGACTTTCACTTTCAACTTATGTCCCCAAATTCAGCTACTACCCTGGCTTTAAGGGCACACTCCTGTGGGCAGGAGCTGTGTAATTTTACAACTAACTTTGGAGATCCAGGAGAGGTGGGAAGAGACCAACAGAACCTCACTTCTATTTCCTACTGAAGCATTACTTCAGTTTACAGATAAGGGAACTGAGGCACACTGAGAGCTGGCCTCTCTGCAATCTAGAGACAAAGCTGGGACCACAACTGAATCAGCACAACTTTAGGAATCCCAGTCTTAACCATTGTACTGTCTTGGAGAGAGGCAGAGAAAAGTGGATGGATGGTGTGGAGAAATTCATAGCGGGCATTGCCTGCCACCCAACAGTCACCAGGAGCCTAACGCAGAGCTGTGGCCTGGGTGGGTGGGAAAAAGAGACCAGGAAAAGCAGAGTCAAAAGCCACTCAAGTCAGGTGCAAAAGCCACCAGTGGCCTTCTCCACAGACCCTAATGGGGCTGGGGGGCAGCTGGGGGTGTCCACTGCACTGGGGAGCAGCTGTGTGTCTCACGGCAAAGCAGAAGGCAGGGCCAGGGTGCAGCTCAGTGGTAAAATGCTTATGTAACAGATCACGTGCCCTTGGTTCCATCCCTAGCACCCCAAAACAAAATAAAAAAATGTTATGCTCAAGCCTAAAGCAGGGGTCACATGTTAGGATGCGGCTGGCATTACCACCTGGCTGGTAACATTTGGTACCCAGGCAATTTTTCTTTCTTTTTTTTTAGTCTTTTTCGTTTTTATCGGTACCAGGGATCAAACTCACGACTGCCTGCTTGCAAGGCAGGCGCTTATGCTGCTGAGCTAAATCTCCAGCCCCTACCTAGGCAATTTCATGTAAAAATTTGCATTTCCTGCTTTATTTTTATTTTTTGGTACTAGGAATCGAACTCAGGGCCCTACACTTGGTAGGTAGGTGCTCGTGCCACAGAGCTGAATCGCTGGCCCTCTTGTTCCCCTTTAAGACTGCATGCTCACAGAACCTTGGGCCTGTGACTGCCTCACTACTTAGGTGGCCCTCAGGGATGAAAGTCTCTTTCATCCAGTCCCTACCTACCTCTGTCTACTCTCACTCAGGCACTGAAGCCAAGTGTTGCAAGATCTCATCGATGGGCCCTTCACAGGTTTACATCAGAGCCCTTCTGCCAAGATGAACACCGACCTCAGGTCCCCAGCTCTCTCTCTCTCTATATATTTTTTCTCAGTTGTGGGATGGGGAGGGCCCCTCTCTGGGAAAATCAAATGAGATCGTAAAACATGAGCTTGCTCTGAAAACAGGATGTTGTAATCAGGATTTTGAAGGGAACAGACTTCAAATAACTATGGCAGTTTATAGGACTATTTTATAATATGCACCCAAAGAGTCAAGCGTAAAAGAATGCAGGAGACCTGTCTATGCATTAGAGACCCAAAGAATCCAGATGAGGGCCTAGATCCCATGGCAGTATCCTGCATGAGTCTAGCTGGAGACTTACAGCCCACAACAATGCCTCATGCAAGGATCTGCACTGGCAAGGCCCAAAGGTCACTGGTGGAAACTAGCAAGTCTGTGCTAACAGGCTGACAGACCTGCACAGGAAGCTCAAGAACCAGAGCTCCTTCTAAGAGAACCACAGTCCTCTCAGGGACTGCAAGGATGCGAGCTCCTCCAATGATGAGAATTGTCGAGTTCATATCAGGAAAGCCAGCGAGGCGAGATTCTCCAGGAGAATCAGCAGCGCACCACCTTCCCCTACAGCTCTGTTCTGATGCTGCTGGCAACCGTCCTCAGGTGAGCCTTCCACACCCAGCATCGCGCTGGCTCAGCTCAGCTGGGTGCTACAAATTGACCATCAGTTCATCCACCACTCAGGATGTTGAATTAATGCCTCTTAATTGACTATTATTTATACTAGTTAAAAAAACTAGAAATACCCTGAATCCAATAGGCCGACAAGCCACGAAACACTATGTGGCTTCTCAGAAAGGAAGCAGTAGATGGCTGGGTACCCAGACGGAAGCATGCTCAGGACGGTATGTGGGAGGAACAAGCTGTACACTTCCGTACTGTACGTACCAAAAAATCCTTAAGTACATTGCTCACCAGTTTGTCAGTGGGCTGAGGGATGGGATCCACTCATGATTATTGACAACCTTTTTCTTTTCTTGGCGATAATGGGGTTTGAACCCAGTCACAAAGCCCTGGGTTCAAACCCCTTTATCACCAAGAACACGCCACCACATTCAGCTACAAATCCTTGAGACAGTCTGAGTTGCTCGGGATGGGATTGAACTTATGATCCTTACTTCAACCTTCTGGAGTGCTAGGTTCTAAGCACAGACCACCTTGCGTGGCTTTTGTTGTTTTATCAGAAAGGATCTATGTAGCTCAGGCTGGCCTTGAACTTCCAACAATTCTGCCTCAGCCTCCAGAGCACAGGAATTTCGAATGTGTCCTACCAGGCCCAGCTTTTGTTTTCTTAAAGCAAAAGCAACTTTGTCACAGTGTTGACCACAGACAGCTGTGGTGGAACCATTCTATGCCAGCGCTGTTCAGTATGGCAGCTATGTGCACAGGCAGCTTTTGAATACTTCAAATGAGGCTGGTGGATCCAAGGTATGAACTAGCTATCCACAAGCTGATAGGTAACTGTTTGGGACAAGGCAAGTGTGTGGGGAGCTGGATGGGACAGGGCAGCGGCAGCACAGGGCTGAGTGGGGGCGACAACTCAAAGGTCCCTTCCTTGGAGAGGGAGGAGAAACTGCTTAGGAGGGGTGAGCAAAACCCAAAGGCCTGAGCAGTGAGCACTGCATTTACGTGAAATGTGCAGAAAGAGCAATGCAGCAGGAAAATTAGTGGCTGCCAGGGGTTGGAGAAGGGGTGACTGCCAATGAGTACAGGGTTCCTTTTGGGTAGAGAAAAAAAAAAAAAAAGAGTTCTAAACTTAAGTTGTGGCAATAATTGCACCACTGTAGGAACCAATGAATGGTATGTTTCACACAGCCGCTTATGCTGCAGTATGTAGATTACAGATCAATAAAGCTATGGGAAAAGCCAGGCAGCTCAACTGGCTTCGAACTAGGACTCCATGCTCCCCACGTATTGGCATGGCAGAGTCTGAGATGTGGCCCCGGAATCAATCTGGTCCCTTGCTGCAGCAATCACCAGGCCCCTCCTCCCAGCAAAGCCAGGGCAGGTTTTCACTCAGAAAGGACAAAAGTGCCAAAGCCAGGTGACTGTCCCAAAAGGACTGTCATTCAACAGCAGCCCTGCATTCTCCGAGGTGAAGGGACAAGTGGGTGGTGCTTCCATCCTCATTGGGGTCTGAACCTTAACGCTGCATAAGGTCCCAGGAGACAGCAAAAAAGAATGTGGAGAATAGCAGGTACTCAGAAATCTACAGAAAGATGGAAGCTATTTAGGAGGCTGAGGCAGGAGGATCTGAGTTTGAACCCAGCCTCAGCAATCTAGGCAAGACTTTGTTTTAAAAATAAAAAATAAAAACTACTGTTTGGGACTTAGCTTAATATAATAAAGGCCCTGGTTCAAGCCCTAGCACCAATGTATGTGTGTATGGCTCTATGATTATTTAAAAAAATGCCATTCTCTTTGAGTAAATTTTATTTTTTGTGGTGCTGGGCTTTATGCATGCTAGGCAAAGGTTTCCCTATTGAGCCACACTTCCAGACCTAGGTACATTCTTTTCAGTGTTTTTTGAGACAGGGTCTCACTATGTCAGAATGGCCTTGAACTCACTATGTAGCACAGGATGACCTTCCTGGCTCAGCCTTCTGAGGGCTGGGGTTATAGACATGCACCACCATGCCTGGCCCCAAATACATTCTAAAGTAACATGCTTTAAGCATGAAAGATGCTCACACAATACTCAATATCCAATTTCATATCAAGTTCTAATACGTACTTCAAACAGAATTAGAATCTCAAGTTGATTTCACCAATATTAATGTTCAGATCTAGGATTGGTGGCACACACGTGTAATCCCAGTACTTGGGAGGCTGAGGAGAAGGATCACCATGAGTTTGAGGTCAGCCTGGACCATGAAATGAGTTCAAGGTTAGCCTGGACCACCAGGTGAGACCCCGTTTCAGAAAAACCAAAAGAGGTTACTTAGGGCAACTTTAATGTTATATGAATTTTGCCACAGTAAAAACAATAGTAATGCTGCATCTCAACCACCACCCAGCCACCCTGTGTGGAACCCCGCTGTGCAGACCACTATACTACCTGCGGAGCCATGAGGGTGCTCAAAGGGCAGAGCACAAGTACTTAATTAGGCCATGATCTGAAAGGGCTTTGGAACAGGGCCAGGCGGATTTTGAGCACAGGACAGGTTCTAGCAGGCAGCCGGGTGTCTGACCCAGCAGTGTCTCTGCAGAACAGGGAAAGGCATCGAGAAAAGGGCTGGGATTCCATGTGTGGCTTGTGTCACATACAGCTGTGACCAGTGAGCAGACAGTAGTGAGAACAACCACTTGGGTACTGACACCACGTTCTGGCTTTAAGCTTTAAAGCAACACTTGGTTGCCAAAAAATTAAAGTAACACTTGGTTGCCAAGATCTTGTAAGGCTCTCTCAAGCTGCATAGGTTCTGGATTTGAGTTTTGGAGCAAGTGGACATGTGGCCCAAGTGTACCTCAGCAGCAGGCGGAGGAAGCTGCTCTTGGGGTGCTCGTGGCTGGTACTCAACACCCCACTGGAATCCCTGCTGCACATACCCCGTGCGTGGGCTGTGAGTAGCTCAGAGTTGCCAGGGTCCCGCTTTGGTACCCCTGAAGAATTCCACTCTTTGTATATAGCCCGAGACCCCTGGTCCAGTGGCCTGAAGTTGCTCAGAGGCCCAAGGTGGCCCTGGAACTACAGTGGGGAACTGAAGGTGTCTCAGGAGAGGAATGGCTCTGGCTGGAGCAGCAGAGGCCTGCAGAGGCTGCTTTGTTGCCGAGCTCGTGGCAGTGGCTTTCGGAGACTGCAGCACCGGAACAGGAACACAAGGACAGCTCCAGGTCCTCAGGGAGGTGTTGCCTGCAGTGTAGCTGCAAAGAGTCAGCAACCTGTGCCCCCCCCCAACCTTCAAACCTCCCCAAACCTTACCCTGCCCCGCCCCATCCCTCACCCAACCACAGCAATCAACAACTCTGAAGATAGCATCTGTTCTTCTCAAACAGTTTAATAGCAAATAAAGAAAGGTACCACACTTGGCAGATACAAAATGACTTTTTGTCCGTGTGTCTGTGCAATTAAAACAGATTTAGGTTTCCCATTGGGACAAAAGGAAAAACACACAAAAAAGGAAGGCAAGTCCTTTGAAACACATACTCCCTTGCTCCAAACTTGTAACAATTTTTTTCTTTTTAATCCACTACACAAACTCTGTGATTGGGTGAGAAAAGCGACAAAGGCTCTTCTTACCTGTTTTTTTTTTTAAACCATTAAAGTAAAATCCATAATTTTCTACAGAGTACAACACAAGTTCACACAAAAAGACATTTTCTTTTGCAAATCAAAACAGGAAAGAAAGAAAGCTCAAACAAGGTCCAGGAAAAGCATTTCTACGGCTGAATCACGACTCGAGTTGATTGAATCCCGTTGTTGCTGCAGAACAGACTGTGCGTTTGGTCATAGTGGCATTTTTTTTCTCTTCACATTGTGAAATCACTTTACATTGTTTTCTAGTAGAAAAGGCAAAAAACTGTACAAAATCCCTAGTGTTAAATACGTTTGTACCAATAAAAAACTCACACAGGTTTGTCTCCAAAATGTAAAGTTTCTTTTTTTTTTTTCTTTTTAAATTATTCACAAAAAGCAGCTGGAAATCAGAAAGACAGCTGCCGCTCCAGGGTCTCAAATCCATTAAAACCACCACAGAACAATTAAAACAATCAGAGAGAGAAAAGGAAAAGGAAACAACGTCCAACGTTTGGCATTTGGTTTTATCCACAGGTTTTCCCAGTGCTCCTCTTGGAATTGAAAGCAAATACATTGGCAAACACAGTTTCTCAGTCCCAGGAAGGGCGGCTCTGTGCAGTCAGACTGTGGGCGTGGGCACAGGCAAGGGCCTGGCTCCCCACCACCTCCTGGGCCCCACCCGTCTATCCTTCGGCTGCCCTACCAGAAGCAGCAGCCTCCAGCTCTGCCCAGGCAGCTGGCAGGGACCCCCCTCCTCACCCCAGCGCGCACAGCGCTGACCAGTACTTCTACTGATCCCTCCTCTCCCTCAGCACCTCCACCCTCAGGACAATCCTGTCCCCAGCGCTTAGGGCCAGGAGACTCGCCATCAGCTCCCTCCTTTTTCCTCAGACCCATCCTGTCCTCTGGCCTCTCCCCCTCCATTCACATTCTTCCTCAAGTCCCAAGACCCTGAGGCCGAATGGAGCCACAAGAGAAGAGGGTAAGTTCCTCTTGGGGAGCCTGAACACTGGCTGGCCTGGCACCCAGGGACAGTAGCTATGTGGCTCTTTTCACCCAATTAAGAAAATGAACCTCTACCCTGGTCCCCACCCCAGTAGCCAGGGAAGAGCCAGCTGGGGTGGGTGGTGGTCAGGGGTGTAAACAGTGTGAAGACTGGTATTGTGCTTGTCACCTAGGCAGGTCATGCCACTCAGTTGGCGGGCCCCTCAGGTTTAGAGCGCCCTCCCGCTGCAATGCTGGTCCTGTGCTAGGGCTCCTGGCCCCTTCCCCTCGGGCTCTGTCTCTGCTTCCCTGGCTGCCCCATCTCTCTCTCCCTTCCCTTCCCCTTCCCTTCCCTGGGAAGAGAGTGGCCCAGGTCCGGGGCTCCCTGCTGAGACCCCACGCCACACGAGGTGACAGTCTAAGTGCACAGGCACATGCTCTATGGGCAATAGAGGAGAAAGTTGCCACTTCAAAATAAAACAGTACAATCTTGAAAAAAATAATCAACCCCACAACAGTTTAAAACAGCTTCTTTGAAACCCTTTTAAATCGGTCAGTTTTTGCACAAAACTATAGAAAACAGAGAGGTGAAGGTGATAAATACGAAGGTGTGAAGAAATAGCAGGAAACATGCAAAACTTTTTTTTCTGAGCATAATCAGTGGGAAAAATATTCAAAATAAAAGCACAAAACAATACAAAAACAAAAAGATCAAAGCATCACATTTTGCTGTGGAGACTGGAGGACAAGCATGGAGGTGAGCTGTGGCCCAAGGGATGGCTGGAGGGGTCCTGGACACCTGGCAGAGTCACCCCAAAGAAGACCACAGAAGAAAAGGAAAAGGGATGGCTGGGGCCCAAACTGCAGCCTGCTGTCGGAGGAGAGGAGGGGTTCAGGTGTGCTCTGCAGTCGAGAACTCAGAAAAACAAAAATAACAACACATGCCGTCTCCTCAAGCCCCACAAACTGGATCAGCAAAATGTGCTCAGGAGCCTCAAAGGTTTTAGTGACATCCTTTATTTCATTGTTTACTTTAAAGTTGTCTTTAAAACTAAGCACACAGAAACAAAGTCTAGAAACGGACTGGCTGTGTGTTCACAGAAACACAAACACCACGCGGTATGTGCTAGTAGGGCTGCTCTGAAGACAATTACAAAGAATTGGAATCACAAAATCAAGTGGTTATCTTATGAAGTTCTAGAAAAATAGATTTTTTTTATATTCAAATGCATGTTTAAATATTTCCCCTTCAGCAGTCGTTCTAGCAAAACCAATTTTGGCAGCACAAAAAAGAAAAGAAAAAAAAAAAAAAAGGAAAGAAAAAACAAAGAAACAAACGTAATAAAAATACACATCAGCATCAAAGGTCAACACAAGGTCAAAGGTGAGAGTTCAAGCATCAGAGAAGCTGAAGAGACAGGGATTTGGACGATGTACTTGACGCCACATCGACATGCTTTAGGCACAACGATGAACAAACGGCAGGAATCTAGAAAAAAAACAAACCAGAAAGAGGGAGACCCACTGAGTTACACAGAGCAATACATCCAAACAGAGAGAGAGAACAGGACACTCACTGTGTGGACAGCCCTGGATGAGGAGCAGGGCGGGGCGGGGCGGGATGACAGGGGACTTTGCACATGCTAACGATGGACACAGGGAAGAGTCAAAAAGGACACGGAGGACACCAAGAAACATCCAGCTGCCAGAGACAGAAGGGAACCTAAGGCTTGGATTTCCCTCGAAGTGCCCAGAGCTAGTAGAAGGTCTCTGGGGGCAGAGCCCTGCCTCTCCTTTCCTGGGGAGGAAGCAGAGATGCAGGCTGCGGTGGGGGTGGGGGGTGGGGCCTTCAGCAAGGAGAGCTGGGATTTCTGCTCCAACCTGTGGGGAGAGCCCTTGGTTCCCAGAAATCCAAGCCCTTAGCTTCCATACCGGCCCTAGACACTCATGTGGGACCTAGGAGATAGTGGTCTGGCCACATTCAAGGCAAATCAATTTCATGATGTAACCAAGGAAGAAACTACAGCAGAAAGCACATTGTAAGTGACACCTTCACGACAGAAAAGGATTGCTTAAGACTTGGCTGTGAGCCTCCACTCTCCAGGCTGAGCCCTCTCACATGGTGAGACTTGGAGGGGAGTGGCTTCTTCACAAAACCATCTTTGGCCCAGGAGAGAACTGTGATCAAGGGCAGCACGCTGTGGTGCAACATGCTGGGCAGAGGGGTCGATGGTATCACTGGCTGCCAGTGCAGCCAGGGCTCCACAGGACACTGCTCCTTTGGGAAGGGAGAACATGAGCGGGTGTGGGCCTTCACAGGATCCAAGGTGGCAGGCTGGACCTGAGCCCAGGACCAACCCCCAGGCAACGGTGAGGAAGGGGCGGGAGCGCAGAGCTCTGGCCAAGGAGGAAGATAGAACAGAAGGTTGGGAGCACGTGCCGGCAGCACCCAGGGAGCACAGCTCTCTCCTCTGCCAATTCACAGCATTAATGCCTTCCCCTTGGGCAGGTTAGCTGGGCTGCGAACGCCATAGAAAGTCAGTAGTTTCAATCATACACAGCACCCTGTGTGTACAACAATCACATTCTGGATTCTATAAAATCCTGGCCTTTTCCAGAGATATAATTTAGGTAATAAATATTCTCCACCCCGGAGCTGTATAAAACTTCTATAAAAATAGAAACGACATTCTTGGTTCCAGCTGGTTGGGATTCAGAACAGCGTCTCCCCCAACCTAGCATTTTTTCTTTTTTTCTTTTTTTTTTTTTTTTGTATTCTTTTTTCTTTTTATTTTTTGCATTTATTTAAAAAATCCCATCATGACCCTGGAAGCCTTTAGAACAGTTTTCTCCTTTGAAACACAGGACACATTTCTCCCAGTGTGCAGAATTCAAGTTTACGTGGTTCCGCTTAAGATGGGTACGTTTCACGTTTCTCAGAGGACAACAGACCCCAGTTATCACTGAGAAGGGAGTGGCTGTCCCTACTCCAGTGGGATAATCCAGTACCACCAATATTTGCAGCAAGATGGTCAGGCCCTGGCTGCTACCACAGGTACAGCATGGTAGCGAGAGCGCCCTTCTGACTTGCAGCACAGCGGTCCCGAGGTCCCTTCATTCTGCTCTCTGTGGTGGGCAGACTCCTACTGCTGAGGGTGGGGTAAGCTCCCAGGGAGCTGAGGCACCCAGCCCTCTCCAACAGGGTGTCCCATCAACTGCACGTCCCTACAGGCTCCCACCCACAGCACTGCTTGGAGCAGAGGGAGAGCCCAGAGGCCTGAGTTGGAGAGGCCTGTGAGAGGCGGTGGGCAGCTAACTAAGAATGAGGACAAAATGAACACAGTAATACTGAGGTAAATGAACACTAATCCACAAAGGCTGTAAACGTGCTGTTTCTCTGTCCCCAGGGGCCGAAGCTGGGACTGGCGCTGGTGGAGGTATCTGCATAACTCTGGGAACCCCACCTCTGGGACACCTCAATCAGCCAAGGAGGAAGTGCTGCCTCTGTTTTTTCCGCAGTGTGAGGCCCTGGGCTGCAAGTAAAACAACAGCCTGGCCTGGAGGGACCCGGTGGCTCCGGCCACCAAGGCACAAGCTCCTTCTGGACAACCAGATGGCTCCTGATCACTGCCTGGAGCACACTGTGCAGATCAGCCTTCGGGAGAAAACTGTGGCTTGGGGTGAACTCCACCGAAGGAGACCCAGCAGTGTCTTCCACAGAGGCCTTTAGAAAAAAGGGGGACTTGCTGGAAATGGGTCAGGGTCTTATCTGATGTTAATTTAACTAAAAATGACCTTCTGGGCTGGGGATTTAGTTCAGCGGTATAAGCACCTGCCTTGTAAGCGGCGGTGGTTAGTTGGTAAGCTCGCTTTCCCATACCAAAAAAAAAAAAAAAAAAAAAAAAAAGACCTTCCTTGGCTGTTTCTCCCAACAGCCACTAGCCAGGCAGGGCAATCCAATACCAATGGAGGCTTGAAGGCCAGGAATGGGTGATGTTTCCCTGCTTTTTGCGTAAATCAGTTAATTTAAGAGGTGCTTTATTTCCAGGGAATTGTTGACCCCTTTTAGGAAAGAGGGGCAGAAATCCAGGACAAGAATTTGGAAAATAGGTGGTGGAAACTCAGTGTATTTCCATGGAAGGCAGCTGGGTAGCTGCAGGGCAGTAGGAGTCAGGTCAGCGCCTCTCCTCCAGAACTCCCCACGCCAGGCCCAGCCACTGGGGACTCTAAGGGTCGTGCTTGGTTCCACTCAGTCCTCTCTTGGGGTGGTTTGGGGAGAATCCTGACCTTCATCTTTTAAAGACACATCCCCATTCTCCCTCCCCCAGGGTGGTCTGGTGTTGGTCCATCTCAACACACACTGGTTACAAACACGGCAAACTTTTAAATAAAGGGGGTGGGGGAAATCTCAGGATATGGCACCTAAACTCCAAAGTAAAACACTGGAAACCAAAGCACAAACTTGTCCTCTGTACGAAGCGAAACTCCCACAGAAGGCAGTAGCCGAGTCTTCGGGGCGTGCCTGCGAGAGTGGTGGGGGTCAGGGTCCGGGGCTGCCAACACACAGCCTCAGGGCACTGCATCATTAAGGGCACTCCTCCCCCACTTACCAGAAGACCCTCTCACTCCAGTCTCAGAGGGGAGCACTCAGTAGGGCTTGCTGTCATTCTTTGAACGCTTGAGCTGTACTTTGAGCCGCTTCATGCCAATCTGAAAGCCGTTCATGGACTGGATGGCAGCTTGAGCCGAAACAGGATTGTCGTAACTTACGAAACCTGCACCCAAGCAGAGACCCAGGTGAGCACCAGACGAGCAAGGAGGGTCTCAGTCCTCCTTATGCAAGAGACAGATGCTTCAGTTAGTCTCAAGTCCCAGTTTTTCTCAGTGGGAACAAAACTCTAGAAATATTGCAAGAAATATACTAATCCCTAACAGTGCTACCCAACAGCTACATAGCACTTCCCCCTCCCCAAGCCATTTTTCATACATTATTTTTCCCTCCAGAGCAGACATCATCATCTCCACTCCACATGTGAGAAAACTGAGGCTCAGGGAAAAAGTTACTTGAGCTGCCTGAGGCCAGCTGAGCAACAGTCCAATTGCAATTCCAACTCCTGCCACCAGCAAGTGCCTGGCTTTCTCTCTCAGGTGTACACTACTTCAACTACCCGATGCTGGAAGAGAAGTCAACATACCGAAACACTTGCTCAGGTTTGTCTGCTTATCTATAAAAACCTTGGCAGACACGACATTCCCAAAGGGCATAAACATCTGCAGCAGGTCCTGATCTCCAAACTCCTGGGGGAGGTGGTAGATGAACAGGTTGGCTCCCTCTGGACCTTCAAAATATCCACAGATGGAAAGTGTCAGTGCCAGCACACTGGCCCCCACCTGCACTGTACTGTCACAGTCCATACACACCATCGCTGGGGGAGGGAAAGAGATTCTCCACATATAAGGCAGAGGACCAAAGCACAACCACTGCCATCACTGCCTCCCTGTGCTGAGGGGGGCTCCAAGGACGCTGGGGTTCTATTGGCCAGAGGGCCAATTCGGGGAGCAGGGAGAGATCAGTGGCCACAGAATACAGGAAGTAGAAGAGGTTATAATGAAAACACAGAATACAGGAAGTAGAAGAGGTTATAATGAAAACAGATTGAAAAACTGCACCTAGAAACTACAGGGACAGCAAGTGGTGGTTATGGCTAGAAGTGGGAAACAGCATAGCCAATGTTAAGGAGGAACAGGAGGAAATTTCTAAGGGGACAGAAATATTCTACTTTGCATGCTGTGGATACAGGATTGCAGGCCTTATCAGAACTCTCCTAAGCTGTATACACAAATGGGTGAATTAACCATATGTAAATGTGCTTTGGTAAAAGGAAATCACCTTTTAAAAACAGCCTAGGGCTGGAGGTTTAGCTTAGCAGCCTAAGTGCCTGCTTAACAAACTCAAGGTTGTAAATTCAATCCCAGGTACCAAAAACAAACAAACAAACAAACAAAAAACCACTGAGCCTATAATTAACACTGAGCACAAAAACAGAACAGATTTCTTCTAACCACTTATGCTCAGTGATTTTCTAACCATCCTGCTGCTCTCCAGAACACTGCCACTATAGTACCTTTGCACCTGCTGTTTTTGGCTTGCTCCCCTGAGGTCCCTATTGATTTATTTTATTTTTTCATACCTAGAATCAAACTCAGGGCCATGTACTTGCCAGGCTGGCACTGATGCCACTGAGGTATGTTTCTGAGGTCCTTACTGAAACATCACCTTTGGGAACTGCTTTGAGCATTCTACATAAGGAGCAGTGAGTGACTCAGGCAGTCCCTATCCCTTTCACAGAAGGAACAATTTAGAGGACCAGCTCAGGTAGCCCCTGCTTTTCGCTGTTTATTATAGTGTCTCTTGTGTTTCCACTAAAATACTGGTTTTGGGCCAAGGATTTAGCTCAGCAGCACAAGCTCCTGTCTGGCAAGCAAGAGGTCATGAATTCAATCCTTGGCACCAAATAAAGTAAACAAATACTGGTTTACAGCTGGGTGTGGTAGAGTACATCTGCAACCCCAACCCTCAGGAGGCTGAGGCAGGCAGCCTGGGTTGCATACTAAGTTCAAAGCCAACCTGAGCTGCACAGCGAGACTGTGTCTCTAAATTAATAAAGAAAGAAAAGGAAAAGGAAAAGAAGTTGGTTTAGCAGAGATGTCCCCAGTGACACATCTCAAGAGCAAGGAAGCATGCAATTCTCAGTCAGGCAAGGAAGGACCAGAGCAACACTCTTTGCTACTATGGCAGGGCAGGCATTTGTCTCTTTCTTACACTACGTTAATACTTAAACCTTGCATGGCAATTTAAAAGAACAGTAAAATCTAAGTGCACAGGCATCCCCAGGACGTTTCCTCCTACAAACCATTACCAGTCCTTCTGAATTTAATGTCACTTATGTCAAAGGATCTATTTCCTATTCTGCCAACTGGCTGGCTCTAACTCTGTCCCATCAACCGTTTCTTCTCCATGAGGACAAGCCAGTCACAAAGTGAGGAAAATACCACAGAAGAGCCTCTGACAGGTCCATAACCCAGAGAGGATTCCTAGCAAAACAGATTAGTGTCTAATAATGGCAGCCACAGGATGGCCAGTATCTTACTGTAAAAACATTGCACTTTCCAGGGCTTCTCAGTCTGTTCTCAACATGAGCACCTCCAAAGGTTGCCAGCCTTTCCCTGGCTCCCAGCTCTGGTGAAGAGATGACAGCTACCCCTTGGGCCCTTGCTTCCCAGAACTCACCTTCCTTCTGGCTTCCAGCAGCACCAATACTCTGCTGTGTCAACAGGTTCTGGTTGTACAGAGTGGGGAGTGCAGCGGCAGCATATTGCTGGATACCAGAGTAAGCCTGGGTAAGGGCCTCCATGGTGCTTCCAGTGCCATTTGAAAGGCCACTGCTGCCCAAGCCACCATTTAAAGCAGCCATCCCTTGGTTGAGGAAGAACAAGATTAATGTCCTGAAAGGATCCACAAAGCCAAAAAAGGGGATAGCTTGAGATAATCCCCACTGTTTACCCCTTCACCTTCCATGGCTTCTACCTGGTCTCAGTTTAGAACGTTAATAAATACCACCCCCTCCAGTGGGTAAAAGGACCAACACCACTCACACACCTGGCTCCATCTTCTTTTTGGTTGTTTTACCACTTTTATTTTCTTTTTTTTTGTGCTGGGGATCGAACTAGCAATCTAGCACTTGCCAGGCAGGTGCTTGTGCCACTGAGCTAAATCGCACCCCTCTACCACTTTCTCATACACAGGTAAAATGTGGTAAAATATAGGTTGCAGGACTGAGGACTAAAAGGGGTACATGTGACTACTTAATGAGAAGATGTGGCAACTAACATTCACTGTGTTTATCCCATGTACTAAGTACCAGGGTAAACACTAAAGTAAGCAATGTTTTCATCAGCACTTTGCCTCTGTTCTCAGCTCCCTCATCACCCTCCAAGGTAGTCTCTCACTGCTATTTCTCAGATAAGGAGAATGGGGGACTGACTCACGTCTAACTTCAAATACATCAGCATTTCTAACTGTTCTGGATCACTGTGATTATTCTAGTAGCAGTACTATCTAGGTGGGCCAAGATATGCTACTTAAACAAGGAATGACCTGGTGATAATGGAGCTGTCCCTTACCTGCCAAAGAGCTGACGTTGAGGCCAGCTGTTGCTCCAGCGAGTGTCTGCAGGGCTCCAAGCGAGGCTATGGGGTTGACAGAGTTACTGCTGCTGGAGCTAGGTGAGGACCCTGCTATTAGAAATCCAGGAGTTAAACTCAAGCCATCTAGAATAGCTGAATCTTGGAAACAGCTTATATGCCTATCAACAGATGAATGCATAAAGATGCTGCAGTGTTTATATATAGTGACGTATTACTCTATCATAAAGGATAAATTTGGAGGCATTTATAGCTAAATGGATGCATCTTGAGTCCACAGTACTAAGTGAGATAAACCAGACATACAAGTTTAAGTATCACATGGTTTCTCTTTAAGAGCAAAAAAAAAAAAAAAAAAAAAAAGATGATGGAGAAGCAGGGAGATCTTTTTCAAATGGAAAGGGGAACAAGAGATGGAGAGATGAGGAAGGGGTGGGAAAAAGTATTCAGATGCATTATGTAAGTGTACAAACCTCTGCTCACAATAAATGCAATCATGTACTCCAAATATGTACCAACAAATAAAGAGATTAAAAAAAAATCTTTTAAGCCATCATTTGTCTACAATAGGAACTGATGCCTAAGAGTGATTCTACCCAGGGATTCTATTTGCAAACAGGATTTATTTCCATTCTAGTAACTGTCCTTGTAGGAAAGACCAATGATTATAACAAACTAAATATTAATGCCACGAGACTGACATCTGCACATTTGGAATTGACAGCCCCACCCCTCTAGACAGGTACTAATTCCTTTCTAGGGTAATGCCCACCCCCTTGCCGTCTTACAACATGACAGAGAGGAGAACCTGTGCCACGCTTACCTGAACTGGTTAGGACGCTGAGCGGACTGCTGGATGTAGTGAGAGCATTGGTACCACTGGGTGTGTTCTGAGCTGCGCTAGCTGCGGCAGCCAGTGCAGCCAAATTCTGTAACTGCATCGCATTGAGGCCTACAACAACCAAAGCCAAGAGTCAGCCAGCTGATATCCACTCCAGTGGTTGGCTGATATCCACTCCAGTGACAGGAGCAACAGAACTGCTCTACATGAACCTTATGAGCAGTATCACAGGGCTCCAAAAATGATGCAGACATGACCAGGGGTGGTGGTTATGTTCCTGCAATCCCAGCACTCTTAGAAGGCTGAAGCAGGAAGATTTCAAGTAGAGCCCAGCCTGAGCAACTTAGTGGAACCCTGTCTCAAAAAAACAAACTAAGGGCTAGGCATGAAGCTCAGTGTCAAGGTCTTGGCTTCAATTCCTAGTACCAACAATCAATGAAAAGAAATCTGAAATCACTTCTCAGAAGAGTTAGGTGACAACAGCTCACATCTCAGGTGAGCACTAAAGAATATTAGGGTCATGAAATCACAGGAGGAGCAGGTCTATGACCAAAGCAGGCCAGAAACCTCAGGGAACAATGTCTGATATAAAGGTGCAGAACAGAACTGCTTCCAAGGCTCACTCAAACCTCAGATCTCTGTGTATGGAAGAGGACGAAGCAGAAAAGGCAGAGGCGACCCCAAAGACCCAAGAGGAATGACGAGAGGGAGTGCAGATGAGAACAGCAATACCACAAAAAATAAGGAAAACACCAGCACTTAAATAGCAGATCAATCAGAGGAAGACAGGACACTTAGGCAAAGACTTGCAAACAGAACCAAAGTAACAGATCCAAGGGAAGGAAGAAATTTGAATTGTGCCATGGATGCTGTAAGCCATTTACTGCAATGGAAAGGCAGATTGTGGGCAGGGATAGGCTAAGTGAGAATAAAAACACAGTATCCGTTACAATCTAGCAGTTTTCCCAAACCACAGCCAACTAAACTCCCTAGGACAAAGTGAATCACTATTCAAAACAGGCAGTTCTCAAGCTGCCTGCTCTCTGCCTCCATCGACCTAAAGGCCCTTAGCTATTTGTGGGCCCAGGTCACTATAAATAAAGACGTGGGTCCTGTGAAATAACATATGTGAGACACATTGTGCACTCACTGCCTGGGTCCTAGCGGCTTCAAAAGAAGCCCTTTACATAGAGGCCATCATCAGCTGAAGATCACCTGCATTTCCTACTCATCAAAATGGCCTCAGCTCACCCCTAGGTGAAGAAGATCTTTTTCATCTTCCTTGACAGTTTTTAGGAGGTGGTGGGTAGCAGCACCCCTCCAAGCAATGTGACATCAACTAGCAATAGAGCCACTGTACAGCGACAAGACAACTGAGTTCTGGGATGGTCATCTGAGTATTTTTGTTGAGCTTATTTATTCTCTTTTTGCACAACACTGCAAGATTCTCAGCCTGCTTGCAGCTGGGTCTGCTGGCCTGGGTGCTGGCGCTCCTCTGCAGCAGTGGACACTTACCTCCCATCGGGTGGAGGCTGCTCAGGGTGTTGAGGTTCCCAGATGAGGCAGTCTGCTGAAGGAGCTGCAAATAAAGCTAGACATTACACCAAAAAACAGAACAAGAGTGAGAGTGAGGGCTGGTTCTGCATCTGGGATAACTCTACAGCACAGCAAAGCGAGAGTGCAGAGGCCCCAGAGAGGAATGTCCAAGACAAGACCCCAAGCTGACATGACAGAAACACGAGCCTGACAGCATAGACTAGAACAACACAGCAAAGCACTAGGCCACAAGAGAGCACATTCAATGGACACCAAGCCACGCGCCAGTCCCACACAGAGCACAGCACAGGACAAAAGCAGCACAGGAACACAAGATAAAGTCACGCAGTGGTACAACTGATTGCCATCAGTCTCTGTGTACCAACACCTACATTTCTAGTTTCTCTTCCAAATTCTCCTTACTTAGGCCAGCATATCTTATTCTGCAAACTCTGTCCATCTGAATACTCAATCTCTACTCCATACAACTGTTTTAAATATCACATCTGCCCATTTCACAGTACTTCTTGGTGTTATCTTTGACCAATCACAATGTGCCCATGACGGATCAGCTGCTCCCAAGCATCCTATCAATCCAGCTGTTTATCTCTTCTCCTCTGATCTGGTCTTCACTGCTGCAGATGACTAAATGATGGACAAGTCAGTCTACAATGGGTCTAGTCTATGATCACTTTCAGTGAATGTCCCTATCATTAGCAAAATCAGCAGGTTTGCCCATGAGCTTACAACTCTAACCTTACTCTGTTACTTGGCAAGCCACAGCCTACATTCAATTAACTTAATGAAAACTTTTGTTCCATTCACATCCAACTGTTGCTTATGAAAAGCCCATTTTCTTGTACCACATCTTTATTCAACCTGTTTTCCATTGCTACAGACATGACCTGGATCCTGAATCCCTCTAGCACAAAGTTTATGGACAGGTTTCACATTAACCTTCAGATGGACAATGAATGAAAACAATGCAAATAACTGCCACCATTCCTATCTTTTCTTCTTGTTTCTCACAGGGTCTCACAACATTACCCAGGCTGACTTCAAACTCACAATCTTCCTACCTAAAACCTTCCAAGTAACTGGGATTACAGACGTGCTACCACGTCACACACTTCCTCACTTCTAAAAGGGGTCCAGAACCCCACAAAAAGGCACTGCCTCCAGGTGGTTCACAACTCTGAACTGTCTCGTGACGAATGATGATGCACTGTCACGCACAGTCCTCCAGCACCCATATGTCTTCACTACAGTTTCTTAAATATTCTGGGCAAAGTGTACTGTTCCACACGGTGGACTGTGCAAACTAGATGTGGCAACTTCATTTCCTCCCTAAATGAGAAGTGCTTTGCCTGGTGTGTGGTGCACGCCTGTAATCCCAGCACCCAGGAGGTTAAGGCAGGAGGATCCCCATGAGTTTGAGGCCAGCCTGGGCTACACAGGGAGTTCCATGCCAGCCTGAACTACATAGCAAGACTCCGTTTCAAAAAAACCCAAACAAACAGCTTTTAGGGCAGGATCATGTCTAACTGAAAGAGATCACAGTCTTAATACGTATCACTGTGTGCCTGCTGAGTAGGATAGTGACACAAAAGTCCCTAAAGAGAGATTCAAAACCTTTTTGAATTTTCTGATTCAGAGAAATACAAGGTAGGATAAACTGGGATTTCTCTAAGATTGAAGAAATATGGAAACCAGAGGGTATCAAATTCAATAAAACAGTACTACGGAAGAGAAACACTGCGTTTTCTGTTTCCATGGAAAACATTATTTGAAAAAATGAATGAATGATGGTATAGTTATTCCTATGTGGATATTTATAGGTTACCCAATATGAATTTGGTGTTTCACCAGTTGCAGCTTCAGAGATGAGTGGTTTTTTTGACTTATAGACAAGAAAGTGCCAGGTGGCCAGGCATGGTGGCCCACGTCTATAATCCCAGTACATAGGAGGCTGAGGTAGGAGGATTACCTCAAGTTCAAAGCCAGCCAGAAATACACAGCAAGACCCTGTCTCAAAAAGCAAAAAGAAGGGATCAGGGATTTAGCTTAAGTGCCTGCCTGGCAAGCATGAGGTCATGAGTTTGATCCCTGGTACCACACACACAAAAAGCAAACAGAACGATACTAGATAGTTTTAGTGTCTTGTGTTGGCTATGGTTCTTTGAAAAGTTAAAGCAGTAATAATAATCTTTGTCATACATTGAAAACTCAGTCAATCTAAGTAACAAATTGGAATTCGAACTTCTTTTAAACTATGTGATTCAAACTCAACAGAAAGCTCAAACTAAAGACATTCTATTTACAATCTGGTGAACTCAGATACACAGTTGTAATTCTCATTTAATAATACTCATGCTAATCTCTTGACTTTTCAGTCCACTGACAGAAACATTTATGATGCTTTTGAAAGGAGACTCAACAAGGATTTTGCCTGTGGTGAAAGAGATACAGAGAATGATTCTTGGTAGTTAAAGATTCCCTCAGAGACTTTCCTCTTGGAATCAGGGAAATGTAAGACATTTCTGAATCTTTAAATGAGATAATCAGGATTTCACTTTAAAATTGTAGCAAAACCCTCAAGATATAGCTGAAGACACATGACAGAGAGACAGAGAAACACAGACAAACACGACTTAAAGGACATCATGGTGTCTGAATTTTTGTACAGAATCTCTGTATGCCAGAAGTTGTAAGTGCCACTATTTTGTTAACGAGGGACAACAGAGGAAACAGCTGGAAGCTTGCATAGCCTGCAGAAAGCACACCACAGACTCACTGCTAAGTACTGGGGTCCAAGAGTGTTCAGCCCGGCAAGGTTTCCCCACACAGATGCTGCGCTGATCTGCTGCATCTGCTGCTGGAGCTGCTGGGCCATTCTCTTCTGCTCTTTGTCTTTCTGTGTATCAGCAAACTTCACCACCATAGGGGACGAGCAGCCCTAGGAGAAATCAAAACTAAGCCTTCCGAGTGAAGAAAAAAATCTCTTTTAGATAACATGCAGGCCATATTTTTATTTCACTCGTTGCCAAAAGTCCCTCTTTCCTGATAAATATGTCACAAAAGACAATTTAAAGGGGCAGCTCTTTCCAGTATATTATTTGTATCTACTTATAGATCTTTTTTTAAAGGCAGGGTCTTCTTGTGTTACCAGGGTGGCTTCAAACTCCTAGGATTTAAGATAAGTGACATTCATGCCTCAAGAGGTAAGACTACAGGTACGTACTTCTATACTTAGGTGCAGTATGTTAATTTTAAAGAAAAGTATTGACTTTTAACCGTAAGACAGACTGGCTATCTAAGGTTTAAAGCAATTCAATACTATGAGAGCTGCAGAACTCTGATGGCCAACTGTCTGCACCCTCAAGCTAAATGATTTCCCCTGTCACCTATGTACTCCCTACCTCCATGGTCTGTGCTTGGTGCATTGCCTTGATAGCTGTCTGGGCCATGGCTCTTGTTGTAAAAGTCACAAATGCACAACCTGGTAAGAGAAGTCAGTAACTCATCCATTCACTTGCTTATACTGTATTCCCCCCAAAATAAGACCAAGCAAAACAAGCCCTAGCATGATTTTTTGAAATGTTTGTAACATAAGCCCTACTCAAAATAAACCCTGATTGTAGCCGGGCATTGTGGCTCATGCCTGTAATCCCAGCACTCGGGAGGCTGAGGTGGGAGGATCATTGCGAGTTCAAGACCAGCCTGGGCTACAAAGTGAGCTCAAGACCAGCCTGAACTGCAGAGCGAGACCCCGTCTCAAAAAAGACAAAAATAAAATAAAATAAATCCTGATTAAGATCATTAGCCAGACAACTACATTTGGTATGTCCCACTGTAATACATAACAGACATACTGAATTATAAATTATTAATATAAAATTGAAATACATAGTACTTTTGACATTAACACAAACTAAAGGATACTGTAAGTGTTTGGGGGTTTTCTGTTGGCTTTGGGTAGTGGGAATTGAACGCATGACCTTGCACTTTATCAGGCAGGTGCTGATGTTCTAAGTATTTGTAAAACTCAAGCAGGTGCCTTTGGACAAGAGGCAAAGGTTTATATAAACAGATAGACTTGAGACTTACTGCCAAATGACCATGGTACAGACATAGCACATGAACAGCATGTACACTTGATAATGGACAGACATCATTTTATCTAACAGGAATCTTTATAGTATCAAGAACATATAAAGAATTAAAAAAAAGTCCTCCAAGATTTAAAGATCCAATCCAAAAATGGGTATCTAAGATGAATACACACTTCTCAGATAAAATATGAACAGCAACTAAATGCATGAAAAAAAAATGTTCATCACTGGTCATTTGAGAGATGCAAATTAAAACAACACTGAGATTTTAATGCATCCTAGAAAGAATGGCTAGTATATTAAGAAATCAAGCAATAACAAATGCTGGAGGGGCTATGGGAAAAAAGAAACCCTTCTCCACTGCTGGTGGGAATGCAGACTGGTGCAACCATTGTGGAAATCAGTGTAGAGATTCCTCAAAAAAGTAGGACTAGGGCTGGGAATTCAGCTCAGTGGCAGAAGCACCTGCCTGGAAAGTGCGAGGTCGTGAGTTTGATCCCACGTACGAGAGGGAAAGGGGGAAAGGGAGAGAGGAACAGAGAGACAGGGAGAGGGAGAGAGAGAGAGAGACTAGAGATCGCATTCAACCCACTTAGTCCCCTTTCGGGTTTCTTCCCAAAAGAATTAAAAACATCATACCACAGTGAAATATGTGCACCCATGTTTATAGCAGGACAATTTGTAATAGTTAAGAGCTTGGAAACAACCTAAATGCCCATCAACTGTGGACTAGATAAAAAAGACATAGTACTGTTATACAATGGAATACTGCTCAGCCACAAAAAAGGTTAAGCTGGAACTTTTTATAGGTAAATAGATACAACTTGAGCCCATACTCATGAGTGAAATAAATAAGACACACATGTGTAAACATCTTGTTTTCTCAGTGTGAGATGAAAGAAACGTGTTTATGTGTATGTATATGTTTTTATGTCTTTTTTTTTTTTTTTTCATTTTTATAGGTACCAGGGATCGAACTCACGACTGCCTGCTTGCAAGGCAGGCGCCTATGCTGCTGAGCTAAATCTCCAGCCCTATGTGTATGTATATGTATACAAAAAAGAGTTACACTACTGAGTTCACTGAAGAGAAAGATGTATGCTGATATTATTCAGACACTTGAAGGCAGATGTCTTGTGCTCTGGTGTATGATTTGGGGATGACAATACACAACGTATGTAGCATTGCTGCCCCTGGGGCAAAAAAAGGGGAGACACCAGAAATAGATCCTTGCAAATATGAGGAGCTGATTTCTTTTTTAAAAAAGGTTTAAATGTATGAGACAGAAAATAGTTTCCTACAGATTCATGTCAAGCTGATCATGCATAAAAACTGATACGAAAGCTTCACGTCTTAAAAAAAAAACCATGAATCTCCGTAATTCAGTATCACATATGCTGTAAAGGATGTATTTCATGTATTCATATGAAATAACTGGGGGTTTTTTTTTGTTTTTTTCATTTTTATCAGTACCAGGGATCAAACTCACGACCACCTGCTTGCAAGGCAGGTGCTTATGCCGCTGAGCTAAACCTCCAGCCCCGAAATAACGGTTTTATAAATTTTGGCACCTGCAACTTTTTGTCATTTTCGTGTGGCCCATCTTTTTTTTTGGGAGGGAGGGATCTGAGATAGGGTCTCACTATGCAGTTCAGGCTGGCATGGGGTTCACTACATAGCCCAGGTTGGTCTTGAACTTGCAATGATCCTCCTGCCTCAGTCTCCTAAGTGCTGGGATTACAGGTGTGCACCACCATGCCTGACTAGCCCAACCTTGTCATCATTTTTGTTGTCACTCCTGTCTTCAATTAATACGTAATTTAATGAAAACTTAACTAAGCCCAATCTGCAAGAGTTCATGACTTGAGTAAGCATTCATGGATAAAATACCTGAGAGCTGTGCTGCCAGAACACCATGGATAGGTTACATGACAAGAAATCATTTAAGGAGAGCTCTACTGTGGCATATGAGAGATGGGGGCCAATGGCCCAATAGGAAATGGAGCTATATGAAGTTCAGGCCAGAATTCAAGATTTGGAGAGTTATGATGTTCTAGAAGATGACATGACTGTATATTGCTAAATGTAGAATTCTCTATGTGCATAAATATAATGGCTGTACATAAAAAGATAAATTAAACATGTCCCATATGAATAAGCCCTATTGTATCTTTTGGAACAAAAGTTAATATATATGCAGTCTTATTTTAGAGGAAATGTAGTTTATCTGGCAGACTGATTCAAGCACTTGTTTCATGCCACTATTCTGCTAGTGACATGAATGAGGTACCTGGTAGAAGAGCTAAGTACGTCATAATGGGTTAATAAGTACTAGAATGAAAAACCAGAGAACTGCACACAGGACACAAAGTCCTTGAGGAAGGAAGAAAGAATCCTATACTCACATTCCTCTAGAAAGGAAAATGGAAGAAGAAATGCTTCCATTTGGCATTGTGATCCTAAGCATACAGAGAAATTTTAGTACATGATACTGATGTACAGAGCACGACTTCATCAGGGTCGGGGCAGACTCCCAGAACATCAATGGTTCAGCAGGAAGCAAGAGGCCCAACCTCCTCACTTCAGTTTCAAGGGAAACTGAAGGGGGTGGGGAGCAGAGGACACATAGGCAAGGAAGGGATCTGATTTCCAGTGGTCTAGTCATGAACTCAAATTTAACACAAGTATCTTTTAAAAGCTAGATGTATACCACCTCGGCTCAGGCCATCAGGTCCCCGTAATATCCGGCACTCTTCAATCTGTCCAAATGAAGAGAACATGACTCGGATGTCATTTTCAGTGCACTTCTTGGAAATCATACCAATAAACAGCTTTCTGTCTTCCACTGCTAAGAGAGTAAAACACAAAATGCTTAAATACTGCTACTAAAGGGCAGTGCAGCATAATGAAGGTACCAGGCAACCTGGCATGGACACCCTGGCTCTTGCCTCATACCCTAATTTCAGATTCCAAGATAGCTCTTTCTGTGTAACTTCACATCTCCTCTTGCGACATATGTCATCTTAAATTTACATGTATTTGGAAGTATGTAGATGAAACATGATAGCTTTGGGTTCCTGTTAAAAGTTACTGAATCAGTTTACAGTGGCTTTCTTCAGTGATTAATAGAAGTATCCAGGTTTGCCTCTAAGGGCAACTGTAGGTATTAGGCACAAAATAATTCTCCATCTTGCTAACATCTGTTCCTTCTAGTAATACTATAAAAGGAGGAAGTAGTTTTCAAACTTGTTATAACCAAAATTACAGAAGACACTTTTCAATGAGTAGAATATCTTTCTTTTCTTTTCTTTCATTTTACTCTGAATACTTTTAGTTGTTTTGGTTTTCAACTGAAATTGGGAATTCAAAGTTAACATCCTTGCTTCTGTGAGCTTCCTACAGAGTAAGAACTCCTGACTCCTGTTTCACACTGCTCTGCTGTGTTTGTCCAAATGACTTGGAAGCACCCGCAGCACCGTTTCACGTGGATTCTCTTGCCTGCACTTTCACTTGGGAAGACCACACACGTCTTCAAGAGCACACAGTGCACAGGGGTCAGGTGTGGTTCCTGGGAGACTTCTGCTTCTCTTCATATAGTTTTTTCAGGTTGGCTTACAGCAAATTCTCCTCTTAACAAGACAGACCGAGCCAAACTGGGTTCAGGAAGATTTCAGTTGAGCAACTGGAAAAAGATGATCCCAGGTCTCCATCCACTACCAATGTCAATGTCCTTGCAGCCATGTTACTCAGCTCTTGTCACTAAGCCCTGAAGTCTAAATTCACCTTTGCCTCCAGACTCACATGGGAGACACTAGGACAGGTGCTCATCCCATTCTGCACTGTTGGGCTTCATGACTGCAGTGCTTGAGCTGAACATGGCTTTGTCCTTGTTAAGCATGAGCTGAGGAAATGATTTTCTGGAGGCTAAGCTCTCTCTCCTTCATTTCTCCCCGTAAGAAATTACACTTACCAAGGACATTCCAGTTCATTCTAGAACGTTTTTGTAACACTTCCCTGTCAACTGTTTTTCTCACTTATGCACTGTATTTATTCAAAACAAATTGTGTGACAGATTTCTTAAAAAACAGTTGAAACCAGGTAGCATAAAGAACAGCAAATACACTAAGAAAAAAACTAAGGTGAAGCTGTGATGCCTGCTTACCATTGTTTTTCTCACTGTCAGCAGGTTTCATCTGTATAGGATGATGCATCTGAAAAGGAAAAAACACGAACATTACTTCATGTACAGGGTTAGCATTCAAACCAGAAATGAGACTATAAAAGAGATATCTAACTGAAGTCCTAGGAGAGCACTCTAATCTAATTTCTTTTTTTTCCCCCTAAACTCATTTCTGCCTCATGAACTTTCTCCACAAAGCATAATAGCTAGAATGTGAGTCAAGAAGCCAAGACTCTTGCAGAACGAGAACTGCTTCCAACTCCTGTTCTTACGTCCTTTCTATCAACCCCTGTAGTGGCTCCCTCTCCCCGAGATAGTTTCCAGCACGTGCCTGATACATGCAAACACAGTCCATGCATCACAACCACCACCGTTCTGTTTGCTCAGAGCCTTCTTACCCCGGGAAGGACTTTCATGTTGTGAAGAGCATTCTGTGCTTCTAATGCAGCTTTACGAGTGTAAAATGTAACAAAACAGCACCCTAAAATAAACCAGGTTATAAGGAATCAAGCCAGTAATTTAAAAACAATGATTTTACACTTTTAGTTAACCATACCTGAAAGAAAATATAATTCCCCCACTTGTACATTCAACACTGGTTTCAAATGTAACAACCATGCTTGCTCAAGTTTGCATCACAGAAGGACTTTCACAAAAAGTTTCTCTAAAATCGGTCACTCGTAAATGACAGCATGTCTGAGAGTACTTGCAGATCTACTATCAGTCCTATACAATGTCCACCATGTTGCTATTTCTGGAAGCAGCCTAGCTATCCCTTTCCTGTTCATTGTGCAGACCATGGTAAACCAGCTGCCTAAATCAATCCTTCCTAGTAGATACTGCATTTCTAGAAGATATTGCATCCTATGAGGGCTCTGTAACTCAGCCCACAGCCTATTTCCCTTTCCTTTAGTTAAAACCTGGCTGCCGAATATGGGTTAAGTCTTAGTTTTGTTGCTCCATTTGAAGACCAATGAAGATGCTCCCATAGGTCTGTCTTGGAAACTTGGAGCCCTCACAAAGGACTGCCCAGATCTAATTTACAAGTTATCTGCATGATCACTCACACACATGTGTTTCGTTTTTGTTTTTGGTCTGAGACAGGGTCTCACTATGCAGTTCAGGCTGGCTTTGAGCTCATTTTGTAGCCAAAGCTGGTCTCAAACCTGCAGTGATCGCCCTGCCTCAGCCTCCCGAGTGCTGGGATTACAGGCATGCATCACCACATCTGGTTTCACCTTAATTTTTAATTTCTAAGCCATTATGGTTGATTTGGAAAATATAGCTCCTATAAAAGAACATTTTTCTCTGAGCGCCCTGGCAACAAGGGACAGAATGCACATAGTAGGAATGACATAGAAAAACTTAATCCTTTCAATCCTGTCATAAATCCAAAGGCCTTACCTTTGCTCTGAGGAGGGTTTTGGCTCCTATCCCTTAAGACGTTGATTTCATAGACAGCACCATACTGTTCGAAGAGTTCCCTCAAATCCTTCTCAGACCAGGTCCTGGGAACCTGGCCCACAAACATCTTGATAGCATCAAGATCTGGCTGGTCTGGGTGGTCCAGGGTGCCGTTCATCTTCTTTGAGCTGCATGAGATAAAGTGACACCTCCACTGTATATGCTTATTGCACTCCAGAAGGAGTTTTCTTTTCTATTACGATCTCAACTACTTTATGAAGGAGGAAAAAAAATTTTCTTTTACTTTATTCAATATTGCTATTCAGCTGACCATAGTTTCCTCAATGTAAGTAATCTCTCCATTAGATACCAAAGTCAAGTCATCATCCAGATTAGGGTACCCTGGTTTAAACTAAGAAATTGACAATGTCACTTATTCCTTGTTCTATAGAGCAACTTATAGGATTTTGCCCCTAAAGCAAAATCAAGTTTTAATAATATTTAAGCACAGTTAACAAAACTTATATTATAAACTGACTATAAAATTGACTAAAGACAGAGTTCAGGACTGTTCAGATAGCCAAGGACAGGAAAGTTTTCTTCCAGCAGCTGCTACCCAGAACCACTGGATTACCAAACCTGCACTAGGAACAACTAAAATACTGGCCGCTAATGTGGCTATTCTAACTACAACCCAAGTGATTTTGGAGTTATACACAAACCAATGCTCTGCTCCTGAAACGTCTAAACATGACTGTAATTTAAGTCATGTTGCCATCACCCTAGGGTTTTATCTAAATTATCTAATGTGCCGCTATTGTGCCAAGCCTACTACTAGTTGGAATCCCTCACCAACTACAAATACTGTGAAGCCAGCAAATTCCCTCAGTCCTATTACATCAAACTGTAATACTATTTTACTATCCTCACTCTTATCTCTGCTACTGCCAAGAAACTAGGGGGAAGTCTGCCCTACTAATTCCCACACCCAGAAGATATCATTAATTTCAATCTTATTCTTAATATTTACCTACACCATTCTAAATATTTACCTAAACCATTAACAATTTAAATTCCAAAAAGAACTAGCAGGGCTACTTCATCTTTTAGTATCTGTTGCTTAACACAGAAACTGTATCATTATAATCAAATCTTCCAGGCTTTTTTTATTTTTAAGACAGGGTCTCAATGTGTAATTCAGGCTCAATCCTTTTGCAATCGTTTTGCCTCAGCCTCCCAAGTGCTGGTAATACAGGTGTGTGGCACCATGCCCAGCTAAATCTTCCAGGTTCTAATAGTTGAGCATAAAAAATATTAATTTTCTCACTATCTTCTGAATAATTTTTGAAGATTCTTAAGAATACTGGGCTACCCAGGAATATAGCTCAGGCCCAGCACCTGCCTGGCAAGTGCAAAGTTGTGAATTCAATCCCTGGTACAAAAAAAAAAAAGAATACTAGATCAGGCATGTATGCCTGTAATCCCAGCATTTCAGAGGCTGAGGCAGGAGGCCGGCCAAGAGGTTGAGCTCAGCCTGGGGTACATAGTGAGTTCAAGGACGGTCTGAATTACAGTAAGAACTTGTCTCAAAACAAACAAACAAACTCCCACCAAAACCTTGTTCAATCTACAAAACCAGTTCACCTTCTATTTTTAAAATTCCTAAATCTCAAAAAAAATAAAAACACATTTCTAAATCTCCCATAACTGAACATTTGTAAATGGTACTTTCACAAGACTTTTGCAGAATCTAATACAAACTAAATTTGTTTTGTTTTTGAGACAGGCTCTTACTTTGTAGTGCTGGCTAGCCTTGTACTCCTCATGTACTCTTGGCTAGCATTGAACTCACAGCGCTACTTCTGTCCTGGCCTCCCCAGTGTTGGGATTACCAGTGTGTGCCACCACACCTGGCACACAAACTAAATATTGGAAGCTGTAAGATAAATGATTATAGACCAAATCTTGTCTTTATATCCATATTTTGCTTAGGATTCAAACAGTAATAAACTTCTCTTTCTCTGTCTCTCTTTTTTAATTGGTACCAGACAGAGTTCAAACTCATGACCACATGCTTGCAAGGCAGATGCTTATGCCACTGAACTAAATCCCCAGCCCCTCCTCTTTCTCTTATATAGTCAACATCTTTTAGCATCTTCTAACTGTATCCCTTCTCTTGTTTATTTGCATAGCCAAACTTGGTACAGTGGCTGGTTCAAAGTTAGCAATCAATTGTGGAAGGAATTTCTTAATGGTCACAACAATTCCCCTTAAATTAGTCCTACCTGAATGAGTGTTGTAAATGGAAAGTATTCTTAAATTGAAGAGTAGGTACTATTTTCTATAATTATTTGATCAACACAGGATCAAGCTACTCTTTTATAGAAAGTGTTATAGAATGTAGTATTAATCACATTTGGGAGGCACTGTAAAAATATGTCACAGCATTTGAAACTTAGTCTTGTCTACTTTTTTGAAACACAGTCTCGCCAAATTATCCAGACTGGGCTTGAACTTGGGATCCTCCTGAGTGCTGGGATTCCAGATGAATACTCTCACATCAGCTTATGAAATTTGATGCCCCAAGAGAAGCCAGGCTACTGCAGTGGCAATGACAAAACCCCTTTAACTAGTGAAACAACGGATGTTACTCCTTACAACCTGTTCCCAGCAAATTTAAATACCAATTTTAGAGGCATTTTACTAAAATGGTGGTAATTTTTTATCCTATTTTTATTCTTAGGGAAGAGACAATACAGAACCTCAATATTTCAACGACAAGGAAGTGAAGAGTTCTTTCTGTAACAAAGCAGGGGTTTATTGATTTGTGCTACTCTGCCAAATGCTCCTGGCTTGTCTTCTCCCTCTCCTTTGGGTCTGTGTGCCATTTCTAACCTTTCTCTGTTGTCTTTGCTTTTAGTGAAAAAGCAGAAGCAAAGGCACAGTCGATACATGTGATCTCCAGCACAGCCCAAGCCAGTGGACACCTAGATATAAGATAATAGTCCTTACTTCCTCTTCTATTCTCCAAATCCTTCCCTATTTCTTAAGTCCACCTGGCCTATGGCCCCTTTCCCTCGCCTGCCAATTCAGTAGTCAGCAGAACCCCCTAGAGTGGTGCCCAAAGAGCAAGGCAGTCTTCAAACCTAACACAGAAATGTTTACAGAAATTGGTTATAATCCTGTTAGCCATGATCAATCTAATCGTAAGCATAAAATCCAAGCTCACTTTTTTTTTAAAAGTCATTTTTATTATATCTGATTAGGGGCTGATAGATGAGACCTGAGATGCACTGTCAAATGCAGCAAATTGTTCACCAGGGTCAAATTCCATATAGAGAAATCCTATGGCTCACTGACTTCTTCCTTATTCCAGTAAAACCTGGCATGCACTTATTAGGTCAGCACTGGCACAAAGGCTATATGCTGGACATGGGGCCTTCCTTGGAGCTTATGAAAACAGGAGTTCAGCTGGGCACACGTTTGTAATCCCAGCACTTGGGAGGGTTGAGGTAAGATGATCAGTTTGAGGCCAGCCTGGGCTACATACAGAAGTTCAAGGTCAGCCTGAACTGCATAGTGAGACCCTATCTCACCCTACCAACCCAAAGCAGTTCAAAATGAAGGGGGAATATCACTAGAGAGACAGGAAAGCCACTCATCTGCCTGCATATATATCAAGCAGTCACCCACTTCCTCAACTGCTGTTGTGTGCAGAAATGAGCAACACTGCTGCTCTTCTCTCTCACACGTGGTTTCAGTGTGCATGTTGCCCTTAGGGATCCAAGTGCCCGCTGCCTAAAAAGACCCTATGGATAACACCTAGTGTAATATGCCACAGTTCTCAAATTACTGATTCATTCTACTTACCATTAGATACATTCTCAAATTTGTGCCTACCTCGCACCTGAAAGAACACTATGCAGTAAGTGATTTGGTTTTCCAATATTGAGACTGAACTCAAGGCTTCTGCTCTGAGCTATATCCCCAGTTCTTTTACTATTTTGAGACAGCGTCTTGCTTTGCAGCACAGACTGACCTTACACTCACTATGTACCTCAGACTGGCCTTGAACTCATGGCAATTCTCCTGCCTCAGCCTCCGGTACTGGGATCATAGACTGTACCACCAAGCTCTGACTTGACCTGAATTTATGATCCTCCTGCCTCAGCGTTCTACAGCATTAGGATTAAAAGCATGTACCACCACAGCCAGCTATGAATATTCATTATGTCATGCAAGAACCAGTGAATTCAGTGATTCCCTGAAGACATAGCCATAGCATCCCTGTCCTCCTGAGAGACTAAGGAAATACTCATCTTCTGTAGCAATTCTGCCAGACTACTTGGAAGTGGGATGGAAGAGAAGAACATCTGGCGCTGTAACAGTGAAGAGAAGAGATATGGCAAAAATATTAGGGGAAAGACATGGCATCACCAACCTCTTTATGTTTATGCTTCCAGTAGCAGAAACAATTAGAACACATTATAATGACTTCATTTATATGTAGTATCAAAAATAGGCAAATGTATACAAAGAACATTAGCAATTGCCCAAAAATAGGGCCAAGAAGGGGTGAACACTTGCTAATGGGCACAGTGTTGCTTTTTGGGATAATGGAAATGTCCAAGAACTAACGCTAATGATTACAGAACTATGTGAATCTGCCTGAAAACCACTGGATTGTGCACTTAACAGTGCTATCATTCACAGTATGTGAACTACGTATATCATCAGATAGGATGGAAGGGATGGTAGCAAAGCTAAGCCACACTGTACCAAATATGACAAGCAGGGGAAGAGTAGAACATGCAGAAACGAGTACCACTGGGGTCCTGGGGAGATGGCTTCAAGGTCTTCCAGCTGTGGAACTCTGATCAACATCAGAGTCTAGTTCATAGGTACCTTATGGAACACCTGGGTATATGCTAGCTTCAGTGAATATCTGATATCTGTTTTCTTCCAGCCAAACAAAACTTTCACATCTGTTTAATAACCATTTCATGTGGTAGCACATGCTTGTAATCTCAGTACTTTAAGAAGCTGAAGTAGAAAGACTGCAAGTTCAAGCCCAGCCTGGGTAACTTGGCAACTCTGAGAGACCTTACCTCTAAATAAAAATAAAAAAGGCTGAGATGGTTGCTCAGTGTGAAGGGCCTGGCTTCAGTCCTCAGTAGCAGGGGAAAGA